AAATTGTTATAAAATGTATAAAAAGGCTTACTTTAATTATTTTCAGTCAAAAAATATCTTCAATTAGTAAAACATAGGGAAAAAACTAAGTTCTGATATGTTAAATTCAATTAATTAATCCTGAGGTTACGGTTTGACAGGGTTACGGTCTGGACAACCTAGAGAATAGATCGGAAACTTTACACAGATTCAACGCAATGCGATGCACACAACACAGAAAATAAATTAGGCAATGACAAACGTGTGATCAAAATTTTGATTGATTTTAACATTTACTTTTTAGATCTGCGTCTGATTACGGTCTCGACATCGTAACTGTAACCTCACCGAATGACAGTTTGTGATTATAAACCTAGAAAAATTAGTTCAAAAATTTTAATTTTTTGTTTATACTTATAAGGGCATCAAAATTTTCGATGTTCACGATTATTTTCTGATATTTTATAAATTTTCAAACAATTCTGGAGATGTAAAAATAGTGTGCCTATAATTTTTTTTATTATCAAGAGTTAAAGGGTTTAGAGATCTGCCCATATAATACTTACACTTAGCGTAACAGAATCAATTGAGAAAAAAAAACTCAAACTAATCTTATGCCATTAAAAAAAACTAATGTAATTTTATTTCAAATGCATTCTTTTCTTTAACAGTCTTTTTACTTTATACCATCTGAAGAAAAGTGCTCGAATTATTATGCACTCCAGTGTCTTCTTCCAAGTGAATATAATCTAAGAAAATAAACAAAGATGGAATGACAAAACCCTCATTTCCAAAGTGTGGAATGTTCCATTTCTTTTTCTATCCGAGAATTGGCTTTTTGTTTTGGCAAAGCTAAAGTTGTATCGTTCTTATAAAGATTTCCCATTAACGGAGCCTCCAGAAGACGCAGTGTTTCCGGGATTAGTGAAGTGCCCACCCCCTCGCACACATTTCCTAGCCCCCCCCTTTTTCTTGGATGATAAAGGGGGGCAGGCAATGTTGAGACGATGACCAACAGGCTGGACGGAAAGCACTCGTTGCCATCTTGCACAGAGGTATCTTTTTAATTAACGAGGTTTAGGCTGCGTCAGCGTTTGGGAAAGCAACGTTCGAATGAAATGTGGCGTTGTATTTCGGGGATCTATTATCTTTCTTCTTTCCAGCTTATTGGGTGTCTTACGTTATGTCCATATCGTAAATTGCTTTTGGATGGTTTTAGTACCCAGAGATAGGGTTAGGACCTATAAGTTACCATCGGGATTGTCCTATTCCAAACAAAACAGAAAAAAACAACCAATTCCTCGAGATTTGAAACGCTGTATTATTATTTGGCGAAAGAGAACAAAAAAGGATAAAGTTAAAGGAATGGCAAGCGAAAACTGAAACGATAAAGCATTACCTAACGTTACGATCGAAATTTGCATTGACAAGTTTTAATCAAATATCTGAAAAATATTTTCTTAAGTAAGTAGCTTTTATACAATAAAAATTGATTCGATTCCAAAATAATTACATTTAATTAGAACTGTTGCATATATTTTTTTCCTTTTGCAGTCTGTTAATTGTGACATTCAAAACGTTGTATTATAATTAGGCAAGAGACAAAATAATATAAAGTTGCTGACACAATTACATGCAATTGAAATGCAATATTACGTTGCAATTCAGATTTGCCAGTTGCTAAAACATAATTGTAATGTATTCTTGTGTTAAGCAGTAGTCTCGTATTCCCATGACTACAACTGTCTGGCATTTCGACACTACACGGACAACAAACTTATACGTCCTAAATTATTGAAAGGAGTAATAATAGTTGGAATAAATATATATATTTCTCTTTTGCATAAAAATGTACTGAACTTACAGAGTAAAAAGAACGTGATCCTGTTTGTTTCCAGCAAAATTTAAATTTAGATGTAGAAAACTTTTCTGACTTACAGATAATATCATTCCGATATTTGTTCCTTACTTATAGCTGACACTTGGTAGGTATCAGAAATTAAAATTTAGCAAAATATGTTAAACAAACTCCTTCAAATAGGTTTCTCCAAAAATGAACAAAAATTTTTAAAAATCTTTCAGTCATGTTAGGTATTTGCAATTTGTTAACATCCCGGCATTTTTTTTTTTTTTTGGAATTTTGTGTTGATTTTGTGATATAGCCGGTTTCGGGAAAGACTAATGCTGTACGAAGTGAAGACAATGCAAATTGTCAGAGTATTAAAATTTCTTAGTTTTTCACATGAGCCCAAAATTATAAGATTTTTTTAAGAAATGCATAATTGTTTTTGAAACAGACTCTCATAAAAAATATCGAAACTAAAAGATAATATATATTAACAACATGAAATAGAGTGCCTGCAACCTTCTTGAGTTGGGTTTTATTTCCAAACATTTTCAGTCAGTTAACAAATTTCCAAAAGAATTTTCGAAGCATGCATAAATCATTATTATAAAAACAGTTAAACATTTTCATGCTGATGCTTAATCACCAACCTGTAGTAGCTAGAAAATTGATTGTTAGTTGTAAAATGATATTATTTGTAACTGATGTTAACTTCACGGTTTAAAAAAGGTGGTTCATGGTGACTTCATGGTTTCTGTATATTTTTTATCTATGAAAAAAAGAGATGAATGATTGGAAAGAAACTACAAAAATTGTTTCGTGTTGGCAAGTGACTTATTAAACTATTAAAAATGAATATCAATACTGCTGCCAGATACATATGAAATAATCAAAGAAAGATTGAACGTAGTCAAAAGCCAGTTTTTAGATTGAAACAATGCAGAGATCATAGAATTATCACAAGGCTAAATGCCTGTGTATTTGAGAGAATATTGATGAACATTCGTGTGGGACTCTCTTTGTTTACACAAATTTTAAAGATTTATTGTAAGTTTACGAATATTAAAAAAATTTATTTTTTGATTTAACCGAAAAATCGAATCGAATTTAATGTGGCACTTCGTAGCTCAAGGATCAAATGAAGGTCAATTGTCTGTAAAAACAGAAACTGTCGTCAAACAAATATCTGAAAAAGAAAGAGACAGAATTAAGGAAGTCAGGCGACAAAATCAATGAATTAACTAATTACGCAATAAATGGAAAATATTTCTACGGAAATTCAATGCTGAAAAATTTCGATGAATTTTACATTCAAAATATTTACGCAAAACGCTCATTCTGTCTCGAGTCATCAACTAAATGAAGCTTCCTGTGTGAGATGGGTTAATATTTGTATTCGCGTGAAAGTAAAACGAAATTGCCCTAAAGTATTAACTTCAAGCTTTACAATAAACTAATTTTTCTAAAGTGTGCATTAAAATAGTGGACCACACTGTTGAGATCTTTTGTGGGTGGCCATAGTAATTTTTTTCAACACCTAGACATAAAATTGATTTTCTCAAATATAATTTCATGTGCTAAGAATTTTTTTAAAATCATTATTTATTATCTGTCTGAATTGAATTTGTAACTATAATATCGTACGTACCCAATGACTAGCGTGTTTAAGGTGTCCTCCTTAAGTCATTAAGTTCGTACTCTACAATTTTAAAAAACACCTTTGAGCTCATTGAACCATGATATTGTTAAACTTTTTTAGCAACTTCAATATGGTACCAAATTAAATCAAATTATAATGCAAATTGGTTCATCTTAAACTTGATTATTCGGTGCTGTTGTTCATTTCTAATGGCTATATGATTCAATGTAATACCTTACAATATTATGAAATTATAAAATAATAATGTAATGAATTACATTATAAAATTTATGAATTACATAATAAAATATATTAATTATATTATGAAATTTGAATAATGTTATGGTTCAACGTTAAACCACTATTTTTTATAGTGCAGTAAGCATAAATCAGTTCATTAGATCAAAAGTTATTCAAGATATTTGATAATTTTATTTTGTTGACTATGTAACTCACCGTCTACCTAGAATTGGTTATTTATCTTTAAAAGAAATAACACGTTTAAAGAATTCCATCGATAACTTTGATTTGTGAATTTAGTTTACTTTTGTCGATTACTTAAATTCTATCGATTACTTTGGTGAATTTAGCTTACAGAGCAAAACAATTAATTAATAAAAATTAATTACAATTAACATATTACGTTACAAAGAGTGGGAAGATTTAAGGTCTATTGCTTAAGGTCTATTGAATAAGAAAAATTGCTTAAGGTCTATTGAATTTGTCAAAATTAATTTGCATTTTAATATTAATAATATTTTTAAAAATCATGAAATTCAGCTTATTAAATTCTTTCTCTTTACTTTTTCAGGAAAAAAAACTGTTGATGGGCAAGAAACTTGACGATCTCGACTAACACAGGAGCTTTACGCCAATTATTAAAATAAGATTTCAAAAGAGTATTTTTAAAAAAATGTGATGTCTTCGAGTAGTTTCGAATAAATATAAACAACTCTATCTTTAGTTCAGCCTTGCTGTTTGATTGCGATTTCGAAAAGCAGTAAAATGAAAAAGGAAAATCGGAAGAACGATTCCGAGAACAAAATCTAGAACCTTAGGTTAAAAGAATATATTTTACTTCGATTAAACCTAATATTTTATAGTTTTTTGAAGTGTGCAAACGCTTTTGTTGGTAATAGTCTATTAAAGTTAATATATTCCATATTTTTGTATATAGTGTTGCAAAATCTGTTGCAAATAATAATATCAAAATATTTTTGGCAAAGTAGAAACTATTTTTGCTGACCTTTTATGTTGATGGGCTTAAGATCTCTAGTCCAGTTTTGGGTCTACAACAGCTTTTCTATCCCCATATAAGACATTGTCACCTCCTTCCACCCCTCTTTCCTTCTTTTCTTGCGTCTCTTCCCACCCTCGAACACTCGTCACTACTTCATTCCCTCAGAAAAATGGTGGCTCCGAAAAAGAACAGAATGAAATAGAAAGAAAGGCGAAAGTAAAAAAAAAAGTACATAAGAACAAAAGTAAGAGAATAGAGAGAATAGCATCGATTGCAAGAACTAACAGAGGCTCGTGAGCGGGGAACGTTATTTTCTTCCTTTAGCCCCCTCGTCTAAGCGCACCCCTCCCCTTCCAAACCTTATTTTTTATTTATTTTTTTCTTTCCCTCTTTACTCTGTGAACGCCCCCATAAGTCGCTGACCAGAGGAAGATGGAGATAGCGAAAAAAGTAAGAAAAATAATAGATAAAAAATAGCCCAGCGTGCGGGGATGAGTTGGAATCCCCGGATTTTCCTTCTGCCTATAGCATCTATAAGAAGAGCCCGACGCTTGGACGATCTTCCAATATGCAAGAAGAGTAGTTCTGGTTTTACTTTCTCACGTTCTACCCCCTTATAACACATTAAGCCTTTTTTTTTCTATCTTCACCTACTTCTGATTCTTTCTTTTTAGCGAAGATCTGCAAGATATGATTGTGTTAGAACATACTCTGAATCATGATTCATTAAAGCCATTTTCTGTATTCGAAACAAGTAGAACACATATATTTTTCAAAGCATAATTGATATGAATTTAAGCAACAAATGTCGGTAATCTCCTTCACCCACATATTAGATAGACGCTCCAATTACATTTTTACCATGCTGGTAAAATGTAATAGGATGCATAACAGTTAAATTTTTGTTGACTGAGTCTGTTCTTGTTGCAGAAATTTACTTTTACTGAAGATTCAAATTTAGGATCTAAAGATGAAGTTCAAATTTAAGACATATTGGGCATTTTTATCAAGCATCCGACAAGAATGTTAAAATATAGTATACAACATAATAAACAAAATAAGTTAAAGGTGCTTTAATTCATCAGCAGCTAAAAGATCCACATACTTTTTTTGAAATGTAAAGTTTCGTTAAAGCAACATGGCGAACAGAAAAAACTGAAAACCATGTTGCAATTGGCTGCATAGAACATAATGAACACATTCGGAATTCTGTTTAAATAAAAATGCAAAAAAAAAAAAAGATCAATCTGAGTTTATTTTACAGCCAAATACATTTCAGATCGTCCATCTTCAATCCAATAATTTTCTGAAGGCTGTTGTTATTGTAGTAAATGTGTTGAGTGGTCTAAAAAGTATTTGGTTAAAATGTTTTAGCTTGCTCTCTTTCATTAGTTTTATTAATTAGCTAGTGTGTTTTTTATTGTGTTATCTTTTCTTTCATTTTTTTATTGTGTCTTCTTTTCAGTCAATAGTGTAGGATCCAGACAATTGTTTATGGTCTACAGCTTTTGCTGTTCGTCATGTGACAATAACGAAACCTTACACTTTAAAAAGGTATATTTATATGTATATTACACTAATCACCAATTTGACAGTAGATGCTTTACATCAAGCTAATCATATGCTACTAAAACTTGAACTACGTTAATGTGATCTGTACTAATTACTCATTATTCCTTTACATTCATTTTTAAAAGTTTCAAGTTTCAAGGGGACTGCTTTATCAGTTTATACAATTTATGAATCTTAAATTATATCCCTATGAGGTAGCGCTGATTCTATCACCCATATTCAATTTTCATTTGAGAAACCCATATATATAAAATTAGTTCATCACGATTGTTGAGAGCAGACAAACCATGAACCTTCTGTTTTAATCATCAATAAATATTCAAAATGCATTACCGTGTTTCAAAAGTAAGTAATATACCTTATGCGATACTAAGGGAGACTTATCAGAAAAGAAATAAAATAAATGATAATTAGTTTTGACTAAATTCGCATATTCAAATATTTAAATAATTATTCAATAAGTTCCACAACAAGCAAATGCAATTAAAACAATACAGTTTCATTGAGTTTAGTTAGAACTCTTTATTAAATCGCGAGTGAGAAAACTAATTAAAATAACAAACATTACTGGCGTAGTCAAAATAATATGTTTTAATTGCAAGTCATTGTTATGAAATTTAAGCAGATTTAAGATAAAAGAACAAATTTAATCGAACTACTTAAGAGCTCCAGACTTTATTTCAAAAGCTAAAAATCTTTGTTTCGAAAGTTTTTAAAACTATTAAATTTATTCTATTCGCATCTATTAAAAGACTCACGCTGTACTTGCATTAATTGCTTAAAGCACTAGAGACTTAAATGTTTATTCAAAACAAATATTTTTGGTTAAATTAATACCAGACATATCAAACCATTAACAATTATCTAATACATTTCTAATTATATTAAATGAAAGCTTCATTTCCCCCGGTGGTTTGAATGGCTCTTTTAGAGTTACCCAAAGAGATCTTTCCGTGGATTTGGCAATTTATACATCATTAGATAAACATACAAGCTGACATCATAATAACTTCTCATGTTATCCAGACAAAAGACATCCCTTAATTACCCCGAATTGAATTCATTTTAACTACTGAAGAAGATAATCAGTCTAGATAGCAACTACAGGGATAGTGGAGGAAGAGCAATAGCGGGATGAGGATCACTCTCAAAGTCAGCAGCATCTTCCCCATCCCTTTTTTTCTTCCTCTCCTGAAACAGGTAAAGAAGATTGGCGATTGAAGACGAGAGCAAAGGGGAGAATGAAGAAGGCAATGCCACCTCTCCTAAACATGTCAGCCCCCTCTCCTTAGCTAAAAGCCAGTTAGCAGAAGATCCCTAAGGGGGTGCTCGACACTGTTTGCCTCAACTCGAATCACGTGAGCCTCAGCCACCCCCTCTCTACACCCCATAAGAGCTCGATCGGCCTATTGTTCCTTCGAAGCGCGTGCAATTAGGCGACCATGCGTTGGAAGGCAGAGCTTTTACGATGCCGATATTCCTGCAATTGCTTCTTCTTCTCTTCCGGAACATTTTGTTCCTTTTTTTTCCTTTTTTGCCTTTCTTCCTTCATGCCCGTCTTCTTTTTCTTGCCTTCGAAAAGCTGGTGAAGATCTAGAAAAGTGGAAAAGCTTTTGGAAGTATGTCCTGACGAACTATATGAGGTCCACAGCTGCAACCATGGTTGACCAGTGGTGATTTGGGACCAGTATTTTACGGTACTTGTTGAGGAAATGAGTCAACATTGGAAATGACCTAGAAGGAAAGCAAAATATTTTTATGAATACAGCATTAATTTCACCTAAAATAAAACACATTCAAACATGAAAATCGTGTTTAAAACCATGATTTAGAATAAAAATTTCGATACTTTCAATTTAATTCGTCTAAATCTCAAATATGCTGGATTAATAATTAAAATTTTTATTTTTTTTCTCTCCTTCGAAAAGTTGGTGAACATCTAAAAAAGTAGAAAAGCTTTTGGAAGTATGTCCTGACGAACTATATGTGGTCCACAGCTGCAACCATGGTTGACCAGTGGTGATTTGGGACCAGTATTTTATGGTACTTGTTGAGGAAATGAGTCAACATTGGAAATGACCTAGAAGGAAAGCAAAATATTTTTACAAATACAGTATTAATTTAACCTAAATTAAAACACATTCAAACTGTTGTATGAAAATCGTGTTAAAATGGAATAAAAATCTCAATGGTTTTATTTTACATGTCTAAATTTCAAACAAGATGAATTAATAGCTGAAATTTTTAATTCATATTATTTTCGCCGTCGAAAAGTTTCTGATGATCTAAATAAGCATATAAAGTTTTAAAAGTTTGTCCAGGCGAACTACACGAGGTCCACTGCTGCAATCTCGGATGACCAGTTGTGATTCGGGTCCAGCATTTTACAGTAATTGTTGAGGAAATAGTCAACATTGGAAATGATCCAGAAAAAAAGCAAAATAGTTTTATGCATACATCATTAATTTAACCTAAACTACAAAACAAAAAAAAACTGTTATTTAAAAATCGTGTTGAAAACCATCATTTAGAATATGAATATCAATAAAGAAAATATTTTAATTATTTGAAAAAATTTCTTCCTTGGAATAGTAGTGGTGATTTGGGACAAATATTTTACGGTACTTGTTAAGGAAATGAGTAAATATTGGAAATGACCTAGAAAAAAGAAACTGCTTTTAGGAATACATCACTAATTTAACTTAAACAAATAGACATTTAAACCATTATATGTTTGAAAATAGTGTTAAGATCCAACGTTTGGAATAAAAATCTGAATATTTTCAATACCGGTGAAATTATGTGTGATTGTTTACTTACTTACATTGAAGTTCTATTTCTCAAATTTGCTTAAGTTGTGCAGCAGTTTAAAAGTTTTAATTATTTCTAAAATACATATCTTAACTGGCTCATTTTAAATGAGCTTTTATTGGCGCAAAAAAAATATCAACTGTATTTTGATAATCATTCCCGCAAAAAAGCAATCAATTCATCAAAACTGTCATTGAAACTGAATGAAAATTGTTGTGGAATACGAACATCTTACGTACTACTCGTCAGAGAAATTTATAAAGACTTTTTAAGCTCCTTTTATTTTCAAAATATCAGTCATTTGTTTGTGTTGCAAAATGCTCTACATTTTTGTAAAACGCACTTGAAGCTTTTTATTCACTGCGAAACTTTTTTCTAAAAATAATATGAAATAATTATTTTATATCATTTTGAGAAAAAAAAACTTTTTATGAAATTTCTTTCAATTAAGGTCAAAAATCAGTTATTCCATCAATAGATTTAATATAGATTTACTAGAATCAATAGAGCAGAGTTAAATTCTCATTTAAAAATATGAAACCAGATACGAATGACTCTAAAAAAATTCAATGATTTCTAAATAGTTAAAATTTATACATAATTTTCACAAAAATGCCTTTAATTGAAAATGCCTCTTCGTTACACACGTAATTGAAATTTTGAAATTACAAATACTCCAATAAAAGAAAATTAATTTAATTCCAAATGTGTTCCACATTACATAGCATATTATAAATTTTAGTAATTTTCTACCGATATAAATGGAAAAATCTTTCTTGTTTCATAGATTAAATTCTGTTAAACTTTTGATTTGTTCTAAAATTTCAATGGACTGTATATGTAAAGAAATTAATTAGTTTACAAACATAATTAAAATATTATAAAGCAACAAAATTAAATTAATACAAAATGAATACTTTAAGGGGTTTATGAAACTTTTCAAAAATACGTTGTTTTGAATATTTTAATACTATTGTATTTTACATAAAATGCGCAAAAATGCTCACAAATCTGACATTTTTTTAATAAAAAAAATTGAATTTTAATAATATTAATGTTTTTAATTTTGATACGATTGAAAATATTATGAAAAGAACTAACATAAGTAAATAGTTTTTTTATGCACACGTGTAAAGAACTAGTTTTTGTGTTTTGTCACTGCAGAAGGCTCTTGTTTATGAAACCGAAAGTATAAGTATGTCAATTTTTGTGCCATTATTTGTGCTGTATATATACACAAAATATATCGTATCTTTTTTTGAAAACGTGTTTCGATTTTAAAATTTTTCTTCATCTTGGAATTTTTTTGATATTAGTATGTAAAAGCTTTTAAAAAATTCTAAAATTAAAATTTATTATGATCTTTTTTTTTAACAGAATTATAAAACAGCGTTTAAAAATGCTTTACTTATTTCCTGAAGATAAAAGGAAAAAACTAAACGTAGTCATATTTGCGTTCTAAATAGGATTTAAATATACATTTTTGACCCTTTGAAGTATCATAAATTGGTTTTGTATTTAAATAATAATCATGGTTTTAAGATTCATGGTGTTTGGGACCCTCTTATAACATTGAAATTTTCTTCGCGTAATAATTTTAACTCTTCAAATTTATTCAAAATTGATTCAAGTTACATTGGTTTAAATTTATTTAGCACATGCTATTATAATTATTAAGTTATCAGACTCTAACAGTTTATGAAGTTTCTAACAAATTCAAAGTACTCTGCAAAATTCTTTAAAAATACCGAGACGAAACCAAGATTCTCAGTTAAATTAAAGTTTTTGAAGTTAAATTACGAGTTTCACATTAACAGAATTATGAAAAATACATTGTATCCAAGTTCCATTTATCTATATTTTAAATATTTATTTTTTTTATAAGCGGCGTTAAAGGACATCCGACCCAATTTTAGGCTTATCACTATCAATGATCAACTCCTTGGTCTTGTAAATTTGAGTCCAGCCCAGAAGACAAGGAAACTTCTGGATCAAGATATTGGGACAATCTAGTCCTTCGTGGAGTACCTTTTGATGGAACTAACAGTATTTGTATTATGTTACACTGCGTTTGCATTATGTTATGTTATAATATGCATTGCAACTCGTGGCAAGAGGATTCTAACTCATGACATTGAGGATAATTAAACGTCAGGATTGCGATCAGTGGGGGTTTGTTGCAAAAGCGATTCGTTAGTGGATCACCTCACTAGAAAACGTATGTTTTACCCTCTGAAAACTATCCTTCTGCATGGAATTTCTTTCTGATATTTCAATGTATTGAAATTCAACACACAGTCAATTCGGTATGGTTTATGGGGTAATCGTCTAACACAGCTTCGGCCGGGTTCAATTTCCTGTGCTAAAATCTGGATATCAAATTGGATTGCAATTTTTCTGATCGTGTCCAAGTAGTCCACTCTTATATGATGCCCTCGGCGATTCAAGATTAAGCTTTAGGCCGTGAAGCAAGATTACAAAACAGCAAGCGTGCAACGTTTGTCCTTTAATTCCAAGATATTTATTTCCCTATAAAAGTGGTCTGCTTTCTATCTTTTGCATGCAAAAAGAGCTAGGGGATACGAGAGAAGTTTTTTTTCTAAAACAAATTTAGAAGAGATAATTCTTTACTGATTTCTGAATTTTTAAATTTAAAAAAATTACTTTTCTAACAATGAAATGAGTTTGAAAGCATTTCAGCCATACAAGTTAGCCACACGTTGCATGAATTTGTATCTTATATTATTAAATTCATTAATTTTTCTTCAGTAGTTGGGATAATTTTTTTGCCCGGGGCTGCCAACGAATTTAACTCAATTTATATTAGTAAAAATTTTAGTGTATGAAATGCTTGACAGTTTTCCTTACACTTAAAACGTTAGTGTAAGTAACACTGGAAAAGTGTACATCTTGCAATGGCACTGTTCCTTAAAAAAGAAAAAAAGAAAGAAAAGAAAAAAAAAAAACAGTGTTAGAAATACAACACATTTCCTACCTTCCAAAACCTNTTTCTTTCTGATATTTCAATGTATTGAAATTCAGCACACCGTTAATTAGGTATGGTTTATGGGGTACTCGTCTAACACAGCTTCGACCGGATTCAATTTCCTGTGCTAAAATCTGGATATCAAATTGGATTGCAATTTTTCTGATCGTGTCCAAATAGTCCACTCTTATATGATGCACTCGGCGATTCAAGATTAAGCTTTAGGCCGTGAAACAAGATTACAAAACAGCAAGCGTGCAACGTTTGTCCTTTAATTCCAAGATATTTATTTCCCTATAAAAGTGGTCTGCTTTCTATCTTTTGCATGCAAAAAGAGCTTAGGGATACGAGAGAAGCTTTTTTCTAAAAAAAATTTGGATGACAGAATTCTTTACTGATTTCTGAATTTTTAAATAGAAAAAATTACTTTTCTAGTAATGAAATGCGCTTGAAAGCATTTCAGTCATACTAATTTGCCACACGTTGCATTAATTTGTATCTTACATTATTAAATTCATTTATTATTCTTCAGTAGTTGGGATAATTTTTTTGCCCGGGGGTGCCGACGAATTTAACTCAGTTTAAATTAGTAAAAATTTTAGTGTATGAAATATTTGACAGTTGCCCTTACACTTAAAACATTAGTGTAAGTAATACTGGAAAAGTGTACATCTTGTAATGGCACTTTTCCCTTAAAAAAAACAGTGTTGGAAATACAATGCATTTCCTAACTTCCAAAAACTGCAAAAGAAAAGCAACAATCCACTCTCCATAGGGAGGCACCTTGGGATTGAAGGACTAGCACTGCACATCTGTTGATTTGTAATCTTGACGTCGCAAGTAATTAAAAATGATAGCAAAAATATCCGTAGCCGTTTAAAAAAAATCAACTCAATTAAACAATAAGAAAATTTCTTGAAATCAACTTATTCTCCATTATTTTTATTTTCGAAGTCTATACACATTTTCTTACATGTACGACAAAATATTCAGAA